CTTGCTTCCCTCTCATCCTCAACACAAGAAGCTGAAATGCTTCAATCCTGCCCCCTTTTGTAGCTCATAATTTACCAGACTTCAAAAAGTAACACACGCCTGTCGTTTTTGTTCTGTTTAAGCACAAGGTTATTTCATATTTCACTTGCCTAGGTATTCTTCAGCTGCTTACTCATCCCACTGCCTGTTTACCTTTGGACCTACTGCTGCCAACTGGTATTAACCTGGGAGGCAGAGTCTCTCCTCTATCATTTACAGAGGACAGATTTCACGCAACCTTCTCTTCATATCTGGGGCACCTTCACGCTTGGGTAACAGGCAACACACACAGGCTGAAGAGAAACAGCTGGGTGTGCACTAGCTTTGAATTAGGTAACTAAGGCTTATTTGAGCTGTTAAAAGAACGGCTGTTGGAAAATTGCAAGGGTGTGATTGCTACTAAATGACAGTACACTTGGGGCAGCTTGTTTAGTTATTGAAAACCAGCTGGCTTTAATGGGCAAGCTGCCTTCCCAGGCACAAGCAGTGGGCAGTAGACTAAAACCCCACAGCCACAAAAGGGCAATACAGAACTGGCATAACCCCCCCTGCACAGGCACAACTTTATTATGCTGTGATCGGATAATACATTCCTGGCATTTTTGTTTCTGCTGAAGTATAAACCAGCGACAAGGAGCCACTGTGCCTATGATTCTTCTAAGGCTGGGAATAAAAAATTAATAACATTTGATCCTATAGACACTCAGCTATTAAAAAAACCCTACTGGAACACATGAAAAACCCCTGTATAGTCTTAAGCCCTTTTTATGTCAAAAACCTTCCAAGAAAGACACTGGAAAAAATTTAGCCCAGGTAGGGAATATACAACTGTACTAAAAATATTATTTTCTTGTCTACAGAGAAATAAAACAGCCACGTGATGTTTCATAACCCCAGCAAGCCTTCAGTCAGGCGTTGCTAAACATAACCAGGTTAAGTGTAGTGGCTTGCCATCTGAAATCACTGGGGTGCAACAGTCAGGAGCTGCTTCCCATCACATAGCTCAATGAAAACTCCAGAACACTCACTTGGCCAACTCCTGTGCAGACTGCTGCCTCATTTGCCTGAGTACACCGACTGCAGAGTCCCCCTTCTGCCAGCTTTGCTCCATCTTCAGAAACCAGGAACTTGGTTTCTGATTCTAGTCTTCCACATCTTGTATTTTCTTGAGTACAATTAAGGACAACAGATTTCTATGGAGCCTGTGTTATTAAGTCATCCTTCAAAGCAATCAAAAACTCAAATCCTGAGAGAAACTTATTTTTTAAAGTCTTTCTAAAATAGTGTAATATAATAACCTTAGAAATTAAGTGATCTGTCTATAATCTCTACAATTTTTTCAATATTTATCTGGTTGTCAGCAAAACAGCCCAGTTCCCCTTCTATTTTCTGTCTTCTTTATATCATTATGTTGAGTAATTTTTTCCCATCATACTATTTCATGTTTCCATTCACAACATTTTCCCTGGAAAAGAGACAGTTGTTAAGACACCTTAGGAAGCAAAAACGATTATGTTAAAATACCCCTGAGAAATGAAAAATGTAAGCAAGCAGGAGGTAAATTTTTTAGCTGAATTAAAACGTAGTCTAGCCTCTCTGTTTGGTGTATGAATTTCAAGCAGGTTTTCAATGGAGAAATTCTCCATGCATGTTGGAACGTCCTTCCAAATCCAGGCTGTAAAACAGGCAATACAGAGAGTCTACCAACAAGATCCAAGGCAAACAGATGTTGCTGTCTCTCTGTTCAGAGGCTGGGGAGCTGCACCCTTCTGCAGCAGCACAAAGAGAAGGGCATGAACTCTCAGGCAGTGTGAAAGCAAAATCAAAGCTGCAGCATGACTTATAGGGCACCACACAAATAAAATCAGTCAAAAGGGCAGGTGACTTGGCCACAGAAGGACATCATGTACTGACAAGGCAGAAATGTTGCCATGCAACTTGGGCATAGACAGACTTTTTTGGAAACTGCACAAAGACTGACGTGGTGTAAAATGCCAGTAAGATATCCATACCCTCTGTCCAGTCACAATCATACTAATTAATTCTCCTGCCAATTAAGCATTTTTTCAGTTGATTTCCACTGTATTTCTATAAACATACACTACCAACTCTCCTTTCTCTCCTCTGAGTACTTGATAAGGTCACAAGTACATCCACTGAGAGCAAATATTTCTATTTATAGAAATAATTGCCCGTGGAATTAAGTGCACTTGCCTGGGTATCTAGTTCATACTAAACTTAATTTAGCTGATTTTCCTTGTCTGTTATATCCATTATTAGGGACAGTGTATGCTGCCAGCTGCAGCATTGCCTATCAACGACAGAAACTAATTATCTAATTATATGGCAAGGATGAGTTCCTCTGCAAAAACATTCACAAGTTACAGATGCAGACAATCAAGTGAATTATCACATGGAAGAACCGTTTTTTCCAGACAGGCATTTTGTACACTCCTCCTTTTTTAAAGGAGACAAAAGAAAACCAGTGCATTCTAGGAATATCAGTTTAAGCAAAGACTTCAGGGAAAAAAAGTTTAGTTTCTGGGCATGCTGTCTCCTAGGCTTCTGCCCTACAAAACAGGATTTGGGGATAGCAGGAAACACCAGTTGTGGAAGAGGATCAAATCATGGAGCTCTTTGGACTAAGAAAGAAATGCTAAGAAGGATGAATGTTATCTGTCTTCAAAATGGGCAATAACAAGCCATGGATCTACAGGCTGGTTAGCCTCATTCTGCTTCCTGGGAAAACCACAAAGCGAATCCTCTCAGAAGTTGCTTCTGAGCACTTGAAGGCAAAGGAGGTGACCAGAACCAGTCAGCATGGACTTACCAAGGGTAAACCATGTCCAACCAACCTGGTTGCCGTAAAAGATAATATGACTGAAATTGTGATTGAGGGAGAGCACTGGATGTTGTCTACCTTGACTTTAGCAAGATTTTGTATGCTTTATCCTACAGCATCCATGACAGATCCAAGTTGGAATATTATAGGCAGGCACAGGCAGACTGTTATTGTAGATAGGCAGATCGTTAGCTGTGTGGAAAATTGGCTGGATCATCCTCTTCCTCAAACTAAACATTCTCAGCTACTTCAAGAATTCTTCATATGAAGAATGTTTGAGGAAGAGAATACTGAGGGTAGACCTCATCAGTCTCTACAACTACCTGAAAGATCATGGTAGAGAGGTTGGTGCTGGTCTCTTCTCACAGGTAATTAGTGACAGAACAAGAGGGAATGGCTTCAAGCTGCAACAGGGGAGGTTTAGACTGGCCATTAGGGTTGGTTTTTTTTCACAGAAACAGTGGTTATACACTGGAATAGGCTGCCCAGGGAGGTGGTTGAGTCACCATCCCTGGATGTGTTTAAGGGTCGTTTGGTTGTGGTGTAGGTGGATATGGTTTAGGGGAGAACTTTGTAGGGCAGGGATGATGGTTGGACTCGGTGATCCCAAGGGTCTTTTTCCAACCTGAATAGTTCTATGATCAGACTTAAAGGCCAGTATGTGTATACCTGTAGGGCAGTTACAAGTGCAGTACCTTGTTTAATTCCTTTTATTAGTGGCCTGAAGGAAGAAAAAATATGCACCCACTTCAACCCACAGATAGCCAACTCAGAGACACATTCAATACCCTTAAGGGCAGGGCTGCTGTTCAGGGGGCCTCAGGCTGGAGGGAGGAATGTGCCAACAGGAGCCTTATATGGTTCAGAAAGGACAAATGCCTGGTCCTGCTTGTGGGTAGAAAGAGCCCCCGGCTATAAAACAGGCTGAGGACTGGCTGCCCAGGAAGCAGCTCTGCCAAAAAGGACCCAAGAGCAGTAAGCTGAGCACAAGCCAGCGACATGCTCTGGCAGCAAGGATGACCAACAGCATCCTGAGTCATACCAACAAGAGCCAAGTTGGTAGGTCAAGTGAAGTGGTTCAGTCCTCTAGATACAGTCTAACACAGTCTGGGTAACGCATCCACCTTGGCCTCACAATACGAGAAAAATGTTGACAAACTGAGGGCAAGCTCAGAGGAGGGCCACCAAGATGGTTAGGGGGCTGGAGCACTTGTCCTTTGAGGAGACACTGAGGAAATGGCACCTGTTCAGCCTTGAGATGTGATGGCTTTGGGGGACTGAAAAACCACCTGTCAGTACCTAAGGGGAGGGTTGCTAAGAAGACAGAGCCAGGCTCTTTACTGAGGTGCATCCAACAACTGATGGTGACCGTGAACTGAATCAGGAGAGGTTCTGACTTGGTACACCAGGGGAATGCCACTGTGAGGACTATTAAACACTGGACTTGCTGCCCAGAATGCTTGTGGAACCTCAGGCCTTGGGCCCACACAGACAATGGCCTAAACAACCTGGTATGAATTCACCATTCAGCCTGCTTTGAGCACAAAGTTGAACTGAAGGCCTCCTGATGTCTCTTTAAGCCCACAAGGTCCTTCCCACTTGTAGCTAGAGACCAAAACTGGAAAGCCAAGAAGGCAAACTGAACAAATAGTTTTCTCTTCTCCTCATGAAGAATCAGTCTCATCTTGTTTAAAAGACCTGGAGAGAATTTTAAAAAATAAACCAAAACAAAACCAAAAACCAGATTCCACTGCAATGACTATTTCCTACGTATCACAGCCCTTCAGGCACATTTCTCAACATTTAGGTTTTTACCAGCCTGATAAGATCAACAGCACTGCCTCTACAGCAGGCTTGGTCTGAAACAGAAGATGTGACCCAGGTCAGGATGTATATACAGATTTAGAAGTAACAGGCTTACCCTGCATCTACTATCTGCTGTGTATTTAAAGTCATTCTGAATTTACATTTGCATAAACAGCAGCCATACTGCTGGCACAGTGCAATTCTTCATGTCCTTGGGAAAGTTTTTAGACCCAAAACAGACAGCTATTTTCAGAAGACCTCCAAACAATCACAGGGGGAAAAAAAAAAAAAAAAAGAGGAGGCATTTACTTACTTATTCCTTGAAAAAGTTCTTCAATGTTAACAGCATTCTTCGCACTGGTTTCAACAACAATTGCACCTATAGATTCTGCATACTCTTTGGCATCCTTCATAGGAACCTCCCTATGAAAAAAAAATTATAAATTTACAAATAAAAGAAACCAAATTTTCAAAAAATAATTTTATCTGAAACAAACAACCAACCTCAAATACAGCCAAATCAGAAAAGCACTAGCATGCTCTTCTTCCCTGCAAAGTAAGTACTATATTTCTTCTTCAGGTATTTAAATCATCATATTCAAAATACCAAAATTATGAATTTGCAGATTTCTTAGACCTAGCTGCTGAATCTATGCCTTTAAAAAAGGAAGATAATTTAAATTGCAACCTCATTTGTTTTTTAACTTGACCCTGGATAAGAAAAGCATTAAAACACTAGAGAAAAGACAAACAGCTCTGCTGATTCAGTCAGCAAGCCCTACTGTCCATACCAAATATTTAAACAAGATAGGGTACTGTCCTGGTTTGAGCCAGGATGAAGCCAATTTTTCTTTTTACTGATTTTTTTTTCCTTCAGTAAGCTTTCTTGTAACTAGCAACAGTGTGTTCTGCTAGGCTGATAAGACAGTGGAATGTTTTTCTAACTACTGAGGCTTCAAGGCTGCACCTGCACTCTGCCAGCTCAGACACTATGGGGAGATCTGTGACCCCCCCCAGTAGGAGGCTGAGTTAGACAGACAGCAAAATTGGCCAAAGATATTCCATTCCATATATCTACGTAAGCTCAGAGGAAGGTCAGAGATCACAGAAGACAACTTCCTTCCTTCTCTTCTTCTCCCCTTCTCTTCCATCCATGGCCGGCGTCCAGGGAGGACTCTGTTCATCCATCACCGTCGATCCTCAGGCTTGATCTCTCCTGACCCCCATAACTCTCTGCTCTTCTTCCAGCAGCAGCTCCGGGATTCCTCGGGACTCTTCCCAGCTCAGGGAAGTGCTGTGGGAGTTGCTGGGGTGGGGGGAGGCGAGAGGCTTTTGCCCATACCTGAATATATCTGTATATAATTGTATATATTTTCTTGTATAATTCATTGGTGTTTTAATTAAAGCTGTGTAGTTTAGTTTTCAATCCAGCCAAGTCTCTCTCTTTTTTTCTCTCTCCTTCCCTACCTGGGTTGGGGGGAGGGGGGATCGAGAGCATTGTTGTCGGACCTGAGTCAAACTGTGACAGGTACAACTGTTGTGGAATTAAATTAGTAGAGCATCATATGTCTAAGTGTTTACAAGCAGCAAGAAAACAAGAGATATTCTGAAACAAATACGAAAGCCAAGGAGTCCAAGCACATTGTAAGAGCAATTTGGGAGTTCCAAGTTCACTGGGAAAAGACAACCAAAATGACGTTGTCTTAAAACCACGGGTAGAACATGATCCTTTTGCAGCCAATGCTTCATAAGCCAAAAGCTGGCAAATGCAGTTTGCAATATGCAAAACACCTCTGCTTCAGACACAAAGCAAGCCCCACGCTGACCTTGTTTTCGCCCGAGCCAGGTGGCAAAGCTGAATCTGCTCGTGTCCACTGCTGCCTGTAACTGATATTCCTGACTTTTGAGCAACCCCTCAGAATCAGAGACTGAACATGTTAGTAGGCACTCAGGGCACAGGGGAGCATGTGTTGAAACATCAGGCTGCCAGTACTGCTTTTCTTCCAGTTGTTCAATACATCAACTGGTGTGTTTTTTGTGGCTTTATTGCTCTCTCTTGCACATGCAGAATTTGCACGAACTCCTTCCCCACAGCTCCAAAGTACCAATCCAGAGGCTCCTAGCACAATTTCCTCCTAGTATGAGTGTCCTGGACTTTAACTGGAGGCACCTAGGTGGGAGCACAGCAATGCAATTTCACAATTAGTTTATGGGGGTATGTATTTTAAATAAATCAGATCTGCTGCTTGGGAAACATGCAGAGAGGCAGAATAATTGCTTGATTTATTACAAGTCGTTTAAAAAAAAAAAATTAGCCTGCATTTCCAGCATGTGGATCCAGAGCTTGTTTCCATTACTTGCTTCCTTGTATTACATGACTTTTAATGGCAGAAGACACAGAGAAGGCAGCATTCCTCTTACTATTTCTGAAATGGCACCTTTGCCTTTATTATGAAAGGTACCACCATCTGCAGGTGGTCTTTGAGATAAGAAAAAAGGGACTTTACTATGTAACATAATATTCAAACAACAGTAAAGGAAGAAATGTGAGAGCATGGGCTTATGTAATTAAGACCTTCAACTTGCTGTAATTTAGATGAGAAAGCAGAAAAAGGTAAAACAACAGCAAGTGACAATATTCTGAGGAGGTACCACAAAACTTTCTAGCCTTCTCCAATTACATTTCTAAAGGAAGCCTAGAAACTTCCACAGCACAGGGGCAATCAGCCTCAAGTGCTGCTGGCACTGAGAAGGCTTCATGCGTCACGTGGAGTTATTGTAATATGGATGTCAACTCTGCTAAAATGCTGCCTTGTGAAAAAGGAAAAGCACAAACACTTGAACTGTAAAGCAAAGGGATGAAAAAACCCAAGATGGAGTGGAGAGGGAAGAAGGCAAGAACCAACAGTGGAGTGTTGAGACAGTGTTGTTCAAGGGCTACAGGGAAAGTTACAAGAATATGTATTATGAAAAGTGCCAATTATTGCATTTTGTTCTTTCCAAATCATTCTATTGACTCATTCTCCCTTGAGATTACCTGAATAATTAATGAATAAAATATATTCTGAATTAATAGAGAGAAGGTTTCAGTATGGAATTCTGCTGAATTCTTTTAACCAAGGATCTGGTAATTTGCAGTGAACATGCTTTGTTAAGAAGGTACACCATAATTTTAGGGAAGTAAGCACATCTCAGTTGCTATTATAACTATTAACTTCTATAATGCTCAAAAAATACTTTGGATAGTTGCACTATTTTAACTCAGCTCCTATTTTTGAATATACTATTTAATGACCTGTCAGAAGGACAGGACACATCAGAAGGAAGAGACTATTACTTAAGAATATGCCAAACACTCAACAGTACTAGAGTTGACAGCACTATAACAAAGATTAGGATTCATACTAAACAAAACTGCCTGTCTTCCTGTAAAATTCCTTCAAAATGTAGAAGAAATTTATTTCAACAGAGTGCCAAGAACTGCTGATAGCATATTAACAATATTGAGAAAAGCAGCATGACCCCAGTGTCCCAAATCCATCTTGGCAGCTCAAAAGCAAATTTTAGATGCTAAATGAGAAGGGCAACATGGTCAATGTTTATGAGAAATAATGACAGTCTTTTCCCAGAGGAAAATAATCAGCTCTTATTGCTTCTACTCAATGCTCTCTACATTATCTCCTAAAGTCATCAGGATGTCAGATTCACATCAGCTTGGACCTGGATCTATTTGCATCTATCTATTTCCATTCACCTTGGTCTTATAAGCAGCTGTCACTCAAATACCCAGCAAAACATCTGCAAAAAGTTTTACAAAATCAAAGAGATATGCCAAAAATGCATACACACATCAGCTTGCTCATGTGCTCACATCATCTTATTTTTAAATTCTTTGTGCCCAAAGGCATATGTATTTTCTACTCATTTGAAAAATTCTGATAAATAGGTGACACATTTCACCTAGAGTCATTTCACGGAAATCAATTTGAAGATATAAAGCAGCCAGAGAATACATACAGCTGCATGTATTGCATAATCAATCAGATTGCTGGAAGAACTGTGGAAATATCACATGAGATGCAGTCTGTTCTCTATCTGTCCACCAAAATATCTTTCACTGAACATCACTGGATGACTTAAAAAAAAAGAAAAAAGGCCGGGGGATGCAGAAAGAATAGCAGCATGTAAAGAAATATCAAAACTGTTCATAATTATGAAAATTAAGCAACCAAAACTACATTAGCTCACCAAGATCAATGAGCACCTTGCAAATGCCAAAACATTTGTGCATGGAAGAGCTCTACTGGCTGAATAGGAGCAAGAAACAGCTGATGAACAACCAGTGAACAACAGGTAGCATTTGAGAAGAACGTGGTGGGAAGTATTCTCACAACACATCTACAGTGCAGGTTTTCTTTCATGTCCCCAGGTTAACCCTCCTCTGGTGGAACAGCATTTAAAAGCCTGCTGCCATGGAAAATGCTACCAAAAGCAGAGAGAGGGCTGCTTATGGATTCATTACTAGTGCTGTTTGTCACAATCTCCAAACTTACTACCATTGATGTAACCAGGCAATTTTATTGCTGGGAGCAGTTAAAAAATAAATTAAAAGTGACTCTCAGGGCAACTGAAAACTCCAGCTTGTGCTAACAGGTTTTTATGCTTATTTCTTATAATTGTCCTTTCCTCTGTTTTGTGTTTGGTTTTTGGTTGGTTTGTTTGTTTTATTATATACTTCACATTTGGAAAGCTTTAATTTTGTATTATAGGACTCAGCTTCATCACATTGACAAGCATATGACAACACTATGTAGAAGATGCCAATCCACTATCTATTTCCCTGATTCTTAGCCCAACAGAAACCAGGAGTCTTCTAGCATCAGGATTTGTTCAGGTCTTACAGAAAGCAGTGACTCACAGTTTCATGTTGGCTCATGGCTGACAGTGGCAGGGGAAGGAAATAAAAAAAACCTAAACAAAGCCAAACTAAAAGAAAAAAACCAAACAAACCAACACAGTCTAATTTTGGAAGCACTGCACTACTTAAGTTATACACGTGTTTCAGGCCTCTGGTGAACCTGTGCTAAAGTAAGGACTATAAAACAACATCATAAGAGGTTATGAGGTCCTAAGAGAAAAGCATCAAATAAAGCCACTGAGTCTGTAGTCATAGTTGAGGCAAGATATAACAGAGTCAGGGACTGACACAAAGGATCACTACTGTACAGCAGAATGTGCTTCTGTTTCCAGAAAGGATAAATGTGAATCCAAACCAGAGCTAACAAGCAAAAGAGTGACTCTGGCTTCACCCTCATCCCAAATAAAATAATCTTGGCTCTTCCTGCAGGAGGGCAGATTCCACCCTCCTGTCTTTTATTGAAGAGGTTCTTTGCTTCACACAGGTGACACAAGTTTTACTTGAGGTTATGCTCCTAAAAACAACAAAACCACACTTTCTACACCCAGTATTATGGGACAGTTTCCAGTTGTTGCAAAGCTCTCTAAGCCACTCTGTGAATAGCATTACTCTGCCTCAGGCCCATCCTTCTAGCTTTATGTTGCTACTTTCGCTCATCAGGTAATAAATACATCCTGCACCTTTGAACATGAGTGGAAGAAATAAAAAGAGAATACTTTTCATTCCCAATGACTCAGCAGCTAAAGGGTGTGGATTATCCAAATACACAGGAAGGACAGTAAAAGAGAGGTTTGTTTGTTTTTTTTAGATGTACATAATTTAAGTTCTGCTGCTGCTTCTGAGGTTGTACACTGGCAGAACCATTGGTGCTAGGAAAGACTCAAAACAGTTGACCAAAATTATATACTATTATAACAATGAAACAAATTGGTTACCTGAAGGAAGGGAACAATATAGTTTCTACAATCAAAGGAACAACAAAAATTGATGTATTACCTGATATCAGAAAGATCACATTTGTTTCCAGCGATGGCCATCACAATGTTTTCAGGACCATGTTCTTTTAGTTCTTTCACCCATTTCTTCAAAGTATGAAATGAATCCTAACTCAGAGAAATAACAAATAAGCAAACAGTCACTTTTCCGTTTATGCATTTGCTTATTTTTTGAAGTTAAAGGAACACAGCTATGGCAGTAGTAATGCAATAGTAATTTTACAGATCACAAGACCATAAGATCACTGTATCTAAGTAATCTGCTTTTCAAACTTTAGGATGTAAGACTTCCTCAAATTAATTCTTCAACTTGGACACTCTCCATTTCCGCCCCCCACCCCCCCAAGAGCAGCACAGAATGTTTTCCTTACATTTTCAGCAATGAGGAAACTACCACAGCAGGTCTTTTAAGGTTGCCCAGTAGCTAATTTCCTTCACTTTTAGTGTGAACTTCAGTTGTCTAATTTCAGCTTCTGACCAGTGGATTACCATCTCAACCACTGTCATATTTTTGGTGACAGCCAATCGTCCTACAGCTATCACAGTGACCCCCTCCCTCTCGCATTTCTGAATCTGTGACCTGGCAAACCTCAATTTACCCATTACGAAACCAAAGAGACAGGTGACAATACACTTGGCTTTTTCCCTTGCAAAATTCAAACACTTTTTGTTGCTACCTACCTCTTAACAGTAAATTTTCTATTCCTTTACACTAATGAACTAATATAATTAAAATCCCTTTCATTCCTAGAGATTCTAATTATAATGCATGATTGAAATTATTACTGAAACTCAAAGGCAGCTCAAAAAATAATTTAAATATTTTTTCCCTGTCGGACATGCACTTAAGACTTGTGTCTAAACCAGGAATGTCTGTATTGGTATCACTGAAGGGAGAACACTATCAGTCATTTGGTAAAAAAAAATCCATTCTGCTTTAATGGTCAATGCTGAATAATAAGCCTCAGAAGGTGAAATACACATTGACCTTCTCTTTATTCTGAGAGCTGTTCCATGTAAGCTTGTAGACAGGCTGGCAAAACAAAGGCTGTATTTAAATTAAAAATAAGTATCAATCCAGCATGATTCACCCTTCCTTGTCTTTTCTTGGCAAATTAGCAAGGGAGAACAGCATGACTGTGCAACAGTGACCACCATCATCAGCCACAGATCATTACACTAATGCACTAAAGAATCAACCCAGGCCTCTCAACCTAGTAGTAAATAATTCAATTGGCAGGAAAGGAATGAAATGCTAGTGAACTGTCATGTCCATCCATTAACGCCTCCTCTAACTCAGCTTTATCAGCGGGGGTTTCTTTCTGAAGTGATGGAAGAGGAATTCAGCTAGAACCTCCTAGCCTGCTCTGACTGAGAATTGAGCAAGAGTCATTTAGGATCTGAAAATACAATTTTCATCCCAACTGAATAATGTTGAGAGAAAGGTCAGAGACTTCGTATTTCATTACTGGCTTCAAAGTTAAGACACGAGTCCCACAATGCAAACATGAGATCATATGCTTAATTAAAACAAATTAATTTTAAAATCAGTACTATGCAAACAACTGAATTTCAGTTCAATTGATAAAGTGGCCAGCTGCTTTTTGTAGCAAAAATTCAACTCCATACAAAGCACACAGGTGGTGATGGTGGAAGGGGGTATTCCAGGATATTATCCTGTCTACTTAAGCTATGGAAATCCAAAGAAACTTTGACAACGTCTCCAACCTTTTGTCTAGGTGAAGTTTAAACAACAAAGAAGTAGAAATTTATATTTACTTTCTTAAGGCAGTTGGACACCTCTACCCAAACCAACACCAACAACCAAAGCATATAAACCCCACTGACATGAACAGGAATTAACAGATAAATATTTATGCATTTGTGCATTTTAACTCCAACTCTGGCCCAAGCAAAGGAGTTCACACAGGCACAAAGTGTAGAGGAGGTCTTACCTGTTTGGTGATGTCATAGACTTGAACCTCGGTAGTACATTGGAGCCAGGGAGTGAAACTGTTAAAACATAACCACACCCCAAAAATTGATAAATCAGAATTACTGCATTTTGTCAGGTCAAAAAGACTTGCCATGGCAGGACCACCAACCTTCTTTCATACCACAGAAAACAGATGTTGCCCACCTCTAATTTTCCTTAAATGCCAAGGAAACAGAACTCCCTTACCTCCTGCCATGCTTCATTCAGCTGGGTTTACACCATCAGCACTTACTGGTTCAATGCATCTTTGCCACTACAGGGCATGGACTCTGAGGACTGATTTTGACATGAAGATCACCTACACTTGGAGGCCTAACCTGGCAGCATATAGACACCTTCCCCTCACAAACAGCAACACTTTGCTTTGCAGTTGTAACAGACTGGATTTAGCTTCTGTTTGGGTTTTATCAAACATTGTGAAATCACTCAGATAAAATTAGCTTGACAGAAAACTTGGAAAACCTGTCATGTTTAGTTATCCTATACTATGACAGGTATTTTTGAAAAAACATGGGTTCTTGCAGTTTAAGTTACTCTTCAGCTTTTTGTTTCAAGGGAAGCATTTTTAAGGAAAAAAATAAAAAACAAACCAAACAACCAAGCAATAAATATTTTTACAATAACAACAGCTTGCCAATGAAAAACATAATTTTCATCATTTACCATGACTAAGCAGCTGATTTAGAACTTCAGCTTGT